GGATAAAATGTGAACAATACTTTCGGGAACATTCTGGTACAGAATAAAACGGGAACAAAAGTCTCTGGAACGTGCTGGCAAAGAACAAAAGGAGAACAAAAGTCTAAGGAACTTTCTCTCGAAGAACAATTTGGTAAATAAAGTAAGCAAAGTTCTGACAGGGAACGAAAGGGGAAACGGGAATTTTCTCTGAACTAATCGCGAAGAATGAAGGCGAGAACACAATTTTTCCCAGCGCGCTGCATTAGCATACAATTTGTGAATATTGAAATAAATCAAAAAAAAACTGAAAGATAGTTTATACAAATTAAGTCAACGAATTGTTCCATAAATGTACAGTTCACCCTAATGATAAACGATCTGGAAGCTAAAATGATCCAGATTTCGTTTGGCTTAGAATTAAAAATCGTGGTTCTCACTGAAAGCATTTTTCATCCCAACTCGCAGACGCCTCCCTCATACTTAACTTTAAGTTCTCAAAACTTTTGTTCTCTAGCAGACTTTTGTTCTTATTTGATCCTCCTTGAAAACGTTCTCGATACTTTCGTTCTCATTGGAAACGTTCATGAAAGTTTCGTTCTAATTCTGGTCTTCTTGAGAGTTTAGTTCGCATTTTGTTCTTAACGGAAACGTTCCCGAACCGTTTGTTTTCAATTTGTTCTCGTACAAACTGTTGTAAACACGTTTGTTCGTGGTTTTTTGTGGTGTTCCGGTTTTTTTATATTTTTTTTTTTGTTTTTGGGTTTTTAGTTTTTTGTAACATATATTTTTTGTTGATTTTCTAAACTTTCGTTGATTTAATGTTTGTTCTTTTGTCTTTACCTTTTTTTTTTGTTTTTTAGTTGCTTTGTTACTTTTTTGCTTTTGTGTTTTTTTGTTGTTGTTTTTTTATTTTTTTATTCTTAATTGTTTTTCTTTTATTTTTTTAATTGTTTTTTTTTTTAGATATTTTTAATTGTTTTATTTTTATTTTTTAATTTGCTTTATTTTTATTTTTTAATTTGTTTAAATTTTTTTTTATAGTTTTTTATATTTCTTATTTTTAAAATATTTTTTCTTGTTTTTTTATATTTTTTTTTGTTTTTTTTTTTTAGTTTTTTTAGTTTTTTATATTTTCTTGTTGATTTTTTACTGCGTATATAGTTCTTTTAATATTTGTATGCTTTTTTGAACTTTTCTTTATTAAAAATCCTTTCTCAATTTCGGTAAATGTATTAGTTTTTTGTTCAATTAACCATTCGGGCCAAATCCTTTAAAAACGAAAGAATTTTACTCCCCAATTATTTTATAAACCAATTAGAATGCCGAAAGAATGTATCTTGAAACACTTAACAATCGATTTAAATTGGCAATCGAGTGGTTAAGTTTTTTCAGAATAAATTCTTTCGTCATTCTAATCGATACAAGATCGATTCACATTTAAGTCATCTTTAAATCAAATCGAAATCTTAGGGGTTAGAGATACACACTGCCACCCTGCCGGTCTCCACTCTGCAGGCAATGGCAAGCCTCCGAGTGTATTTCTGCCATGAATACCATAATATACCCTTTAGAAGGCGGCGAATAACTCTAGCTTCCACCATTTACTTTATATTCGACCGTCTCAACAGCAACCGATTTGAAATTATGAAACCAAGTTTGTGGTTCACGTAAGTTTGCGATATAAAAATTGAATAGAAAAATGTTTACCATTTAGAAGATGGAGCCAGGCTAATAGTGCATACAATATGGCATCTCTAATTTTACTACGTTCCACCATTTTCATTTTATGTTTCTACCAAATAATTTGTGTAATATTTAATCTTCCTACCGAATCTAATCCAATTCCCCAATGTCTGCCATCTACTCATATTTGTCTAGCCAATCATTCAAGCATTTAATGTGAGTAGTTAATGTGCTTGCTTCTTTCTTCTTTCCACTGCACATTAAGCAAAATCCCATAATTTCACTAAATCATCAACTGTGGCAGACAATCAGCGATGCTGCAACAACGCCATTATTGTAATACGTTTTATTCCTATATTTTTTTGTATTCATATATGTATTGTGATTGTTATCCGTTTTTTCATCCAACAATTAATATTATACTATTTTTTATGACGCTTTCATTTATTTTGCTATCTTCGAACTATCACAAGTCCTTGCTAAAATGTTATACGCTCCTGAATTCATCACGGTGGATATGGTTTTCGCAGGCATGCAAAGGAAAACCAAATAATTGTATTACATGTGCATATACTTACACACATACATATATCTTCTCTATTCAGACTCTGCACGAGTCACTAGCCGAACTAATGTCTGGAAGAACAAATAGCATTAAAAATGCATAGACTTTGTATGTGTATGTATTTACTACTTAATGCCGCTTGTATATAGATGCTGAAATATTTTTGGCCACTCTGCTTCGCCTGCTAATGCAAAAATCAAATTAAATCAGGTAAACGTATTAGGATATGTGTATTTGTGCATTCGATGGAAAACGGGAAAGGCAAACACATTAACAAATACACCTAAATGAAAGCAATATGTATGTATATTTGTAAAATTTATACAAAAGTATGTAGGTATGTAACCTTTATGCACCACCCCGTTGTTTGTGGCAACTGCAAAATTCGGTTCGGCAAATGTCTGACTGACGTCGGTCGGTACACTACAAGTTGAGCACTTCCTGCAAATACACGTGCAAAAATCCTTATAAGTGTTGGAAAGGACCTTGCATGCTTGTTTTGAGTTTCTTCAGCTGAATTTCATTGCCTGCAATTGCAATGAGTGATATATTGGCGTTGTGATTTTGATTCTCGCAGCAGCTTGAATACTTAGTATTAATATTTTCGTGGATAATAGTACGGCGCAAAAAAAAAAAAAATGGTTGCATGTACTATTTATGTATGTCTTGTAGGAGAGATGGTAGAATAGGTCTAACAAATAATTTTGGCATTAGTAGAATCTCAAATATGTACACCGTCAAAATCAAAACTGATTATCGGGATGTTGGGTCAAAAACCGGTTATGAATTGGACAGTTTTCAACGGATTCTCATAACATCGTGCGACAATAAATTTTACACACGAAAAAAAATCAATATGTTCACGTTTACAACGATACCAATTTTTAAAAAATCAGTTCAAAATTGTTTGAAATATAAGGTTTTAAATTTTTTGAAGACCCGATTTTTGACTCCTTGTATCACCTATAAATAAGTTTGCACCATAAAAGTTATAAACCATTTAAATAGTACTACGTCAAACAATTTTTGTCATCTACTACATTAGTGTAGGTCCATTCGCACAGTCTCAGCTTGTGCTTCATCAAAGCAGCTTTAGCAGCAGTGTCATTATGGGGCACTCCCGAGCGCTGCGGTTCTCTCAAGAGTATGCGGCTAGTAAGTATTCCCTTGCCTAACGATATTTTTCTGCTTTTCAAGCATAGCAGCTCTCGCGATTCGCTCATGTCCAACTCTGGCCACATGGTTGTGTTATATGTTCTTGATTTTTCCGCCTTGTACACGCTTCTTTTAGGATATATTCTCTAATCATGAGCTTGGTTTTCGTTATAAAAAAACACAACCCCCGAGTCTGTTGTCAAGTTTGGAGCCATCCGTACAAGTTAAAAAAAGAAAGGGACTTATCAAACGTTTGAACACAAGTGAAGTTCATTGGAACCTGAACTGAAGTAATTTCGCAAAGGAAAAAATATATCTGCACTGGGGTACTAGAAATCGCCACGCTAAATTTCTATCGCTAAGAAGCTCTAAATGATCAAGGCTTTTGACTTTAAAATACAATGCTTACGATTTTATATTGAACCCCTTCCGATTTCGTGTCAAAGAGTCGCATATAAAAATAATAGAATGGAGGTCTATACGTACTTTCACAAGGTTTTATATGCAGAGGCTGGAAGAAACATTTACTGCGTCATTAACGTTCAACACCATTTCTAAATTTTTCTATTATTCTATATTTGTTTTTCTGCTGACCCAACTTGCTTGAGTAAACTTCTCTAACGTATGTACATATGTATGTCTTTATGTGGCAAACAAGCTGAATCAGTGTGACGCCGCTTTAGTCACGACTCACTCGTACGTTTTATTGGTTTACCTCGTTGGTTGGGTGACAGCAACCTTTGGCAAAGGATTAGGTGTTTGAAATCAAATTGGCAACCGGATGCTGCTTTGCCATTGGCAACCAATTTTTTATTTTTTTTGGTTTGTTTGTTTGCTCTTTATTGCCTTCATTGTTTGATTTTGCACACTGCTTTATAAAGCGTTTTTTTTTTTCGAAACTAAATTTGCGTTTTTTGTGTGGTATGCAACCTTACGTCTGCTTTTAAATTCTTTCCGCTTTATTTATTTAGTCTCTTTTTTCATGTAATTTATTTTTGTTTGCTCTTCAAAACTCCTATGTGCATACATACATATATACATAAATACATAGTAAGTATGTACTCGTTAGTATTGTATGCACTTAAGTTCGTTGCAATGTCGGGGACCTATCGTTCATTATTCCTCACTTGCCTTACATACATATTTATTTATCACACATTTTCTGTTTATATTCTTTTATATACATATCTGCTGCTTTTTGTGTATGTAGAGCGCTTGTTTGTCGGCGTTTCTATTTGATTTCAGATGCTCGTAATTTTCGCACACATTTTCTGCTTTCTATCCGTAGGCCATATTTTCGTATTCCTGTTCGTTTAGCATTATCCGTATGTATGCTTTGTCAATATTCATTGTGCTGCTCTGCAGAAGGACATTGCTTCCTTGCCGACTCTTGTTTCACTCATTTCGCATATTCCATTGAGTCGTTGCTCGACCGTGCTTCGCTTGGTTTCGTTTCCACTTTGCTTGCTTCGCTCGGTAATTGTGTATGCGTGTGTGTGTGTGTGTGTGTCGTTTTCCTGTTTGCATATCCGCCGCCTCCTTTAAACTGTTACATTGCGCGTCTCCGCTCTGATCCTGTGTTTCGTTCTACCGTCGTTCACTCGATTTGGGTTTCGACCGCTTCAGCAACCCCAGCTCGTTTTAGTTTACTCGCTGATCTCAAACACGCCAGAGCCTTACAGACCAGTACTCGTAGTGGGCTTCTAGGCTGCGGGCGTTTGGAACAAAAGAAATAATAAGAATACAAGCGACCGAAATGAAAAAGCACATTCAATTGTGAAAAAAGTGTATGGCAAAAAATTTTGCATAAAAAGAATTTCTAATTGAATTATATGTGGAGTTACGGGCTGTAACGAAAAAAAAGTGAAGTTCAATCAAAGTTTCGCATTTTTAGTGCGCATAAATTTTTACTTGCTATATCTATTAGTATATAGTATGCATGTATGCATTCTGCTTAAAAATCTGTGTATGACTAAATCAAGCTCAATCTTTTTGGGCGACGTTTTGCGCATTTGAAAAAGTTTTGCGGTTTTTACAACTTCAGGAACTACAAGAAAATGTTTTAAAAAATTGTATAACAGTTTTGAAACTTAAAAACAGCAACGTTGCAGCTTTGGAATATCTCGAAAGTGCAAACTCTTGGTGTGTCGTGCAATAGTCTCGCCGAAAACTAAAGCGAAAATTGCAATTTGTGAACAAAATTAAAAATAAAAATCAACAAAAGGGAAAATTGCACGCAATACGCTGCACTTGAGCTTCCTCCCACACAGTCATTGGCGCCTACTCAAATCAAAGCGTTGTGCATCATACACACAAAACAATACTAAACCCTACCGTTTGCTGGCCCATACATATCATGCAAAAGTTTTAGTGAAGAAAGCAAAAAAAAAACAAATTTTTGAAAAAAATGTGCAATAAGCAGCAACAATTGCGCTATTAATATCGGTAGTCGCAGCCAACCAGGCAGCAAGCTTTTAGTTGCAAACAATCACAGCAAGGATTTTTCGCGAAAGCCAGAGCGCGCAGTACTGCAAAAGGATTAACGGAAAAGATTTGCGCAAATTGGAATTGAGTCGCTCGCAGCACAAAATTTGCAATATTCGACGCCTGTGAATATGCATTAAAAGTGAGTTTCATAATAAACATTATTTTCTTAGTACTTATATGTATGTTTGAAATCCATGGATGAAAAATTTGTAAATGAAATAGTTTTTTTTTTGTGCTGGCCAGATACACGCTCGTCAAAATGTAACTAAAGGCGAAAACCCTACTGGAAAAAGAAAATATAAAAACTTACACCGCCTGGTCTCTGAAATAATCCTGTCATAAATATTATAAACAAATAAGTTGCAAAACTAAAAAAAAAAACACTAACGCAACATATTTCGCATTTCCAAAAATAAATTACACCCATCCCCAAGGAGACGATTTCCTTCTCCCTACTGACATATGTACTATGTATGTCCCATGTGTGTATATTTTAAGTATCCGCCTCATTGGCCCCTCTTTTTTTGCCTCTATTAGAACTCGACAACTTGCTTCTCGTTCAGCTCACAGCCCAAATAGCGTTCTCTTTCTCATTGTATAACTTTCCTTTTCTTGCGTATATCTCTATGCTCTCATTTTTTACGTCCGCTCTCGCACACATTGCTATATACACCTATGGCCAAAATGATAGAAACACGACATACATTTTTTTCCTTGATTAATGCTTGCTAATTTTTTATCAAAGTGTTGCTTATTATTACATGACATATACATAATATACAAATGAAAAAATTTCAAAATTAATGCGGAAATTACAAAAGTTTAACAAATTTGCATGTTCAAACACTTTAAACCGAATTTTTAGAACAATTCTTGGTATGCAGTTTTATAGCCCATAAAATTTTAGTAAAGTAAAGTGCAAGTTTAAAGTATCTAAAAAATCCTATTGATTTTTGATTTATTTTCCTGATGGTGTTGTGAAGTTTCTTCCATATAAAAAAAAAATAGTCGAGCATACTTTGTTTGGAAGAAAACACTGCTAACCAAAAAAAAAACTAAAAAATAAAAAATTGCATAAAAGCAACGGGTTATCAAACAGCATTCCAAAGATTATTCTAAAAATTTGTATTAAAAAGTTTGAAGTTTTGATGAAACTTTGTTGAGCATTTTTAATTTTCCTATAAAATTTGATATTTGAATTTTTACGTTATTTATTTTAAAATGAGCTAAACTTTTATAAAAAATTTACGATCATTAAACAAATAGATAGCTCAAACTGTTCAAAAATAGTTTCCGACCGAGCGTTCTGGTTCGGTTACCGAACGGTTTGGCCATGAAGTTAGGGTTCGGATTCGGTTCGAATTTTGGCCATAATTGGCCGAGAAATTTGGAGACATTTTTTACAAACTATGACTTCTATTTATTTATTTTGTAATGCCTCTGTAGCGTTTCTGGATTTAAAATTTTTTTTTACTTAATTTTTATGGCAATTTTTCATTATTTCTTGTCGCTTTTAATTACTGCCCGAAGTTTTGATGCCCGATACAACTTTTGGCTAGTTATATTTTCAAAATTGTATTGATTAAAGCAATTTGAAAACTTTACAGGCGTAAAGCCGCAGGCGATTCGAACATTTCGAGCATCAAAAAGAAAATTTTGAAAAAAATGTCGCGGTTAGGGTTCGATTTATTCGTAGGTAATCTCGCTTGGTACATTCTTCGTATTGCAGTGAATAAAAGTACCGATTTTTCCATGCTATGTAATTTTTACTCTAAAAAGTTCGGGTTCAGTTCGGTTTCGGCCGAACTTTAAGAAAAAAGTCGAGTGTTTGGTTCGGGTTCGGATTCGGCCAAAAATTAGAGTTCTGTCGGACACTAACCAAAATGTGATCTTATTATTTTGACGACTGTTGTATTCATGCCGCTTCCTCTCTCGTTTGTTTTATTCTCTAATTCCATTTCTTCACATATCCTTTTTTAAATCTATTCACATCCTTCATGAGTATATTTCTTTTTCAAGTAGTGTTTCTGCCGCCACTCGCCATTTCATATTCCCTCTTTGCTTTATTCGTTCTTGGCCTGGCTCTTCTAACTACAACACTTTTTGTAACGAATTGTTGGCATTGTATCCTTGTTGTTCTTACTGCTGACTGCTGTGAGCACGAGATGACTATGAGCGTGAGCAATTGGGAGCATGATGACGATTCGATATTCACGATGCTTTGAAAACTTGCCAGTTTTTTTTTTATTATTATTGAATTTCATCTGAACCTTCTATGCTGGTTAGCATTGTTCTCGTTGTCGTAACTTTTGTTGTAGTTGTTGCCTTCAGTGTTATTGTTGTTTTTGCTCGCCAATCTCATTGGGTGGTTGGTACAGTTTTCTTGGTAAGCTATTTGTCGTTCAATCTGCCTCCTCTATTCATAATTGTCTTCTGCAAACTGCAGTTGCTTGCGCGCGTATGTGTGCGTGTGAATGGCCTGCAAGCAGGTCCAACTTATCAAAAAGGATATGCTTTATGCTTTTATTTTTGATGGCAGTTTGATCAATTTCGGTGCAAAAAAAAAAAATAATTGTGCGCATTTTTAAATTTTGTGCATTTTTAAGTTTTGGTTAACTGGCAAACGGGAACTTATTTACATAGACTATGAAATCCAAACTCTGTAAATTCTGTGTATCCAAAAACGTTGAAATTATGAAATCTTTTTTGGTTACCCCTCTTCGTTTCTTTTCTAATGTTTAAATTGAATGGGAATTGAGAGAGTCATGCAAATCAGATAAAATAATTTAATATATGTACATATGTATGTAGTTGAAAGTTCCAGGGCTCTTAAAGAATCCTTAGTTCTATCTTTGATCATTGGGCCGAAAGTCCAAAAATCTAATACATTTTGAACTTCGAACATACAGCTAAAAGTCTAGTTAGTCTAGACTTAACTTAATTTACGTAAGAAATCGTCAATGATTTCTCAACACGTCAACTTAGCCAGAACCGAAAATATTTTGTTTTTGTATTTACCTTTTCAGCTGATGATTACTTTGCCACCTATAAGCCACATCAAAAAATTCTTGAACAAAAATATATTGCGTTGGCTAATATATTAGGTTACGTTACGAAAATTAAGTCTAGACTCATTGGGACTTAAAACTAATCAAACGAATATTTCGAAATTTTCGAACATAAAAATATGGCTAAAAATTGTGGTTTTTGCTTGTTTTTAAAATTATGGAATGTATAGCCAGAGTATTTCGTATGCGATTTGCGCTTTTATCTTGTGTCTCAATAATTTATACTACATTATAGAGATGGGCGCTGGATATCGGGGCCTGCGGGACCCACGTTACCGATTTCAAATTGGCCGGGATAGGCGGTATCGGGAAGGTCTTAAAATTTTGTGGACGGAACGAGACCAAAATCCTTTCCCGACACTCCCGATAAAACCTCAAGCTCAGAAAATCTTCCTTAGAAACGATGTATGAAATATGCACTTTTTTATGTTTTATTGAGACGAACACGAACAGTAAAGCAAAACAAAATAATCTTAGCTCTAACCCAGCGAACAATTACATAGGAACTTGGACCAAACCAAACAAAAACAAAATAATCGGAAGATGGCAGATCTTTCATTATATTTTATTAACATGTAAAATTAATTTGAAAGACATGTGAATTTTTCTTAGTGATAGATCTCGGGCCCACAGAACCCGCGGTATTTAGTCCCGTGCCCATCTCTACTACATTACCACCTATTCTTCTTCTTCTGTATTGGCCACTCTTGTCTCCCATATAACGGTAGTTTTCTTTAGGCGGAAAATTAGAATATTATAAATTTTTGGGAAATAGGTGTAGCCAGGCCCACTTATGATTACATGTGTATATCTCGGTAACCGCTTCATCAATTTCTCCTAAATTTAGCACAGTTGTAGATCCTGAAAAAACATACCAACCATCTGAAAAGTTTTAAATTCGGACAATAACCTCGCCCTCTTCCCATATAACAGTAAATAAGAGAAGTACGAAATCTTCTATAGCTCAGTAAATACTGTAGCTAATTTAATCAACAAAGATGTTTGCAATAATTCTTTAGCAAAAATACGTTTATAACAAAATTTTGAAAAACGGGCGTGGCACCGCCTACTTGTAACTATGAATAACGTTTATCTCATTAAGTCTAACTGAACTTACTAGCGAAGATGTGTGACTTATGCTTACCATGTGACGATAGTTTCCGGAAGGTGAAACAACTTTTTTACTCGTTCAACAAGCTTTTATGAATTTCGAAAATTTTCTAAATTTTTCCAGCTATGCTATTCTGCGTAAGTCTAGACAAAATTGCATGACTGGACAACATTGGCATTGCCTACTGTCGTGCTGAAATAAGTCCACGGCGAAATTCGTCGAAAATTATCCAGTATTGCCAAGATAGCTTTTATTTAGAAAAGATAAAATCGAAATAACTTACTTTTTTTTTTTTAATCAAAAGTAAAACAAATAAAAATCAACGAAGAAATCATTATTTTAACTTCTTTATTGAATTTTTTCTGACGCGTTTGAGTAGTGTTCTTGCCGCCGTAGATGAGTGCTCAGCAGCCGGATTCCAAAATTCGCTATCGCCAAAAATCTCCAAGAGAATAGGATGCGCGCCTAAGAACATAAAACATGTAGTTACATGGCCCTCAAACTGCCGGATTTGGCTGATTACACATTTCATTTGTTACTTTTTCGTGTAGTTTATTTTTAAGTTCCTTTACCTTTCATTTAGAGAATTTTGGTGACGAAAATTCATCAAAAAAAGTGTTTTTTTTTTTTCAAAAGCGGTTGCCATCGGCAGACAATGGCAAACCTCCGAGTGTACTTCTGCCATAAAAAGGCTTTCTTCGGATATGGGGTAAAAATGTAGATCTCTCCATTTGTGTCACAGCATCAAGGAGCAGAACACGAACTGGAGGAGAAGCTCTCGCAAACACGTAGAAATCGTTCAAGCGCCAAACATAAATTTGTTGGAATCAAATATGAAATATTTTTCATTCCCAAATAACCTGGGATATAATTTTAAAATTAGTCAGGGGTTTCCCTTAGACGGCTGTTTCCAGCTCTCGAGAAAAACGAAAAATTCATATAAAATGACGCACAAGAAAGAAATTTTCTTCTATCAAAATTTCTGAAATCAGTTTGCAGCTCTCAAGAAAAAAATTCTCCTATATTTTTTTTTTCAAGCAACATGAAAAATATTTCTGCATTCTAAGCTTAAACTGAAAAAGCCTAGAAAACTTCGAACAACTCAAAAAATTCATTGAGTGGTCAAGATTTTTATGAAATGAAAAAAAAAAACGATTTTCGATATTCGAAAAATCAAGATTAAAAAAAAAACGCCTACAAATATCAAAAAATAAAAATAAAAAATAAAAATAAATAAAAAACCACGGGCGAAACCGGTTTGGAAAACCCGAGTCAATCGCCCTTGTTGAAACGGTAATTTGTTGATATAATTTTTGGCTACAAAATATAGAATATACTGATAATAATTGAACACGTTTTCGAAATATTTCGAGAATCATAAGTTTCTCAAATATTTTTTTATTCGAATACCCTAACAGGCTAACCTAATATTCACGCACGCCGCCAATTTATTGTCAAAAATTTCTCATGCACATGCAACTTGTATGAGATCAACCGAAATTGAACGGCGTGCGTATGAAGCTAACTCAATTTCCAATTTTTGTTCTGCGTGACATTTTGATTTGACGTTTCGCTCAATGAAATCAAATGCAAACGCATGCAAGTCAATTTCGGGTGACGCAAAAAAACAAATTCGACGGCATGCGTACCAAAACGCAAGCCGCGAATATTAGGTTAGCCTGTAAGCCTTCTAAAAATAAAGTAAAAAATAAACATTCAGCGCATGCACTTTTGCTAAGTTTTTACCCCAGCTTTTTCTTCAATTTGTGGTCTGCGCCTTAATAAATAAACAAAGTATTTTAAAACGGTCAAATTGCTTCCTTTCCTTGCGTTCAGATACTTTTCAACAATTGAATTAATTTTTCTACTTTTAAATTATATTTTTTTCGCGCATAAATATTGCTTCAAGCAAAATTTTCAAACCTTGTGGCTGGCTGATTGCACAATACAGATTAACTTAAATTGTTTACTGAAAATCTTTAGTTAGCTGCCGATTGCGAGTTAACTCGTCAGTGTACTTAAGTCGAACAGTTTTTGAACGAAAAACAATTAAAATTTAGCAGCTAGACTTTATATGAAAAGAAGAAATCAAGTATTTAGCTATCGCATACCTGATTACACCTTCTGTATTTTATGAAATAATTCCTCGTATTTAGGAATTCTCCAAAATGTATAGTAGTACACTCGTGAATTCCTCGCAAATCAGTAACCGTTGAACGATTAAGATTATGCCAGCTGACTGGTTTGATGGCTGCATCAATCATTATTAACATAGAAAATAATAGCCGACATGGAACTCTCCTGGTAGGCACTCAAGAAAGAAAGCGGCTGCAGCCAGCTATGTTCGTAGGTAGACGAAGGACTGGGCTGCCATGCACGCCAATAGAGCCTGCTTGGCTGAACTAAAATGTACACATCGTGAGGCACTACGGGCCGTCGTCGAGGAGTGCTTCGCTCTAGTGCGCAGACAATTGCAACACGAATAACAATAACAAATCATGAAAGTACTAACCAGCGTTGCCGCTTTGGTAATTTTTAACCAAAATTGGTAATTTTTTTCTTTATTTATCAAGTTTGGTAATTTGGTAATTTATTTTTCAGTTTGGTAACTTTTTCGATTCGGACTTATGTACATGTCAAATAGGTCAATATAGGATCTGATTCCAAATAAGGAAGTGGTCCGTAAGCGTTTCCTTTTATATAAATAACGAGTAATCCCGAAAGTTTCGCAAGGCGAAAAGTTGATCCAGCGTTCCTTGGCTGCTAGAATGGTGTGTTCTTTAACAAATCCACCGTGTCCTTTCCTGAAAGATTTTGGGTGGTCCTACCATTCCTTGTCAGTTCGTCAGCTTTTCATTTACCATAATTTTTCCGGCGTACCCGGCAATCATATATATGAATAGAATTCTACGTAAATACCTATCTTCGCGTTCAAAAAGCTGCGGCATTCAGCGGGGGACTTCACTCTGTCTATGTGTGAGTCGAAAGCTTTTCTTCAAGCGTTGAATTTTTGATATATTTTCCTGCCACTTGTTTACATACAGTGGTCGAAAAAATTATAGCCGCACCATATTTTGACAAGTTTTAACATATTATTTTTTTTTTTTGTAATTTAATTTTGGTTATTTTTTATCAAAATATTGTTATTTCTTTAACAGAGCTCAGACAAATTCAAATTTCAAACTTTGTTCAATATTTAAAAAAGTTCAACAAACTTTCGTAAAAGTTTTAGGTTAATGGAGCGCTGATTGTCTGAAAAGCTTGGTATCTTCGGATATACATATGTACAGGCATAAGCCCTAACTGCCAAAATAACGTAAGCGACATTTTTTCAAATTATCTTTTTGATGCAGAAAGGCATCTAGATGCTCTAGGGATATTTCTGCATAAAAAAAATTAAAAAAAAAATAAGTTGAGTAATTTTTTGTTGAATTTGGTAACTTTTTCCGGTGATTTTGGTAAACAATAAAAATATTTTGTGGCAACACTGGTACTAACACACCGGTGCAGAACTCATTGGATGAATAATGTCGGCGAAGGCAACGACACGGTTGGCGGTGGCTTGCAGCTGCTGCTATTATTTTTGGCGATTTTGGTTTTTCTTTTTCGACAGTCGAAATACTGCGATGCGATTAGGGCAATGCGGTGCACAAATGTGAAGTGCTCTCCTTTTTCGACAAGAATGTGAATGTGTGTGTGTGTGTGCATGTATTTGGTGTGTCCTTTTTGTAACTGTATTTGGGATGTAGTCCTCGTTTTTATTTCTTTTGTTGCTTCTGTCATAGCTGATTTTCCAGCTGCATACCTACCTATATACAGTATATACATATCTACATACATACATAAGTCATGCACTTGATAAGGTTTTTCCATTTTCAAACAACGAACAGCCAGCGATTTGAGTGAATTGTTGTGTTTTGTTTTTTTTTTTTCGTATGCTAGTTGCTATTGCTTCTACAATTTATGTAGGTACTCGTATTTGTGTGTGTGTTTTGAAGTGCGCCTGACCCAGTGTGCATTTGCGCACGGTATGCCCACTTCGTTGGCTTCTTTTATCAATATTTTGAAACAAACTTGTAAGGCTGATTCATATACATACATACATATATAAAATGCGAACAAACGGTTTGACGTTGAAAAAGGTGCCGAAAAAAAGAAATGTTTTCCTTACCTTTTTCTCTTACCATTTTTCTCTTGCAGCTCTTTAAATAGATCAAAACTTAACAAAATAACCGTTTTTATAACGGTTATAGCACTTGTTCGAAAAGTATTGCCCTAAGTTCAAACGCAACACAGCGAAAACAAAATGTCCTCCTCCAATACAGATGTGCCCCGTATTATGGTCTTTCGACCAACTTGGGAAGAATTCAAAAATTTTCCCAAATACGTGGCCTTCATGGAATCTCAGGGCGCACACAAAGCTGGTTTGGCGAAAGTGGTGCCACCACCAGAATGGGTACCACGTCGAAGTGGTTATGAGGATTTGGATGCGCTCAAAATTACTATACCGGCGCCGATTTGTCAGGTTGTCACCGGCAAACAGGGTCTCTACCAACAAATCAATATACAAAAGAAGCCGCTCACAGTGAAGCAATTCAGTGAGCTAGCATCCACGGAGCGCTATCAAACGCCCAAACATTTTGATTATGAAGATCTCGAGCGTAAATATTGGAAAAATATTACGTATGTGGCGCCGATCTATGGTGCGGATGTTAGTGGTAGCATCACAGATACGGATCAGGATGTAAGTATGCTTAACAAATTAATAATAATTTGGATCTACTTATCAACTCATACACAAATGTATGTCACTCACTTATACTCCAAAGAGCTGGAATATAAATCGCCTTGGCACAATTCTCGACTTTGTCAACGAAGATTATGGCATACAAATTGATGGTGTGAATACAGCGTATTTATATTTTGGCATGTGGAAGACCACATTCGCCTGGCATACTGAAGATATGGATCTCTATTCAATAAACTATTTGCACTTTGGCGCACCGAAAACGTGGTATGTCGTGCCACCCGAACACGGTCGCAAATTGGAGAAGGTCGCGAATCAATACTTTCCAGCGAGCTATCAAAATTGCAATGCTTATTTACGGCATAAAATGACATTGATAAGCCCGCAAGTGTTGAAGCAGCACGATGTGCCAGTGAGTAAAGTAAGTGATTTCGCGTGAGATTTTGTTTTTGGTAAAAAACTGGCTTAACTGGAGAAAGGGTGAAAGTGAAAAATTTCATATGTTAAAAAAGTATTTTACTTGAAATGTTGATGGAAGTGAAAAAATTTAGATGAATTCAAAAATAAAACTAAAATAACCTAAATTCTTAAATTTCCGGTTTACTAGAATCTGACATATCCAAATTTCCATAAGCTCTAAATGTACTGTTTCGGTAATTGCCTTAAACTGGAAAAAGTGAAAACATTAAAAATATTTTCTATACATTTTGATAGTACAATAACATTTTCATGTCTTTCCAGGATTTTCATAGTTAGAAGGAAAATTTTGCTTACATTCGGAATAAGTACATTTAAAACTTTTTTCGTTTATGTGAATATGTATGAAACAACTTAAAATACATATAATCCCGAAATATATCCAATTTCGAATATAAAAAGAATTACGAATTTTTTCGAACATTCAATTATACTAATTTTTTTTGCGAAAATAATTGCACAATATGTAAAACTGATAAACACAATTGCTAAAACGAATTTTCCCAATTAACCTAAGTTCGAAAATTTTCGTATAACTGCTTAAAATTATTTCGAACGTCGAAAAATATTCGAAACTTAATTCGTTCTTATTTAGAATACATCAACTTAAATTAACAAAAGAAAAATGCTTGTGAACGCCAATTCGAAAATTTTCGAACATACAAAAATATCAATATTCTATGCGAAAATATTTGAAAAATTTCTGAGAAACGATATCCACAATTGTGAAAACGAACGCAAATTACGAATAAATAGAAGTTCGAAAAATGTCGAACATACAAATACATACGTGAATAGTTGAACAATAAGTGAAATATGATATCCACAATTGCCAATAAGTAAATTTAATACCTGCATAGTTGCAAACATAACACAAATTTACAATACATTTTAACAAGACGCTTCCCTTGCTCCAGTTACGTATGCCGTTTTCTATCGAAAAATACATTTATATGTAACTAAGTAAAAAAGAATATACCCATTCTATACACATCCAACTTCATATATGTATGTACAGATAACACAAGAGGCTGGTGAGATAATGATCACATTTCCTTTCGGCTATCATGCGGGCTTCAATCATGGTTTCAATTGTGCCGAATCAACGAATTTTGCCATGGAACGATGGATAGAATATGGAAAACGTGCCGTTCAATGTACCTGCAGGTACGAATTCGCCCACACGCATGCATACATACATAAATACATAAATGAAGTACATAAAAATATAATTTAAAAAAAAAAATATTTTCCATACAGCAACGACATGGTTAAGATCTCCATGGATACATTTGTGAAACGCTTCCAGCCCGAACGCTATCAGGCGTGGTTGGAGGGCAACGATGTTGGCAGACATCCCGAAGATCCGCCTAGTGTTATAACCGCCGCACCATTGCCCTCACATGTAGATGTTATTTGCAATAAGAAGTAAGTGTATCAGACGCTCATCAAGGCGCATTTCGTGCTTTCGTTCCCTTGCTGTTGGCGCTTTCTAACATTTTTCTCTCTTTTTCAACAACAATCACTGCCAATCGCGGCCCTCAGTTATGGGGCTGACAATTTACCTATGCACGTATTACAAAGAATGAAGAAACAATGCAATCCGACAAAGAAGAAGTCCTTCAAGGAGCGTAATCCAGATTTGAATTTAGAAGAGATCCAACAGAATCCTAATATACCCGATGAAGTTAAGGCTGTGCTAAAAGAGAGTGTACTAACACTGGAAGCTGAGGACGAGGAGCCAGCCATAATCGGCGATGGCGAAGCTGAGGTGTTGAGTCAATTAAGCCCAGCCAATTTGAAAACGAAAAAGGAATTGTTAGACTACATCGATGATGGTACAGGTGGGTGCCATAACTACATACATAATGGCATAAAGTTTTTTATATTATTATTTTTTCCCCATAATTATTTCTATTTAGACGAAGACGAAGAGGAGGAGTTCCGTAAACGTCGTCATAAGCGCAAATATCATTCCGACTATGATGACGATTGGTTTGCCAGCAAGAGGCGTGCAAATTCGCGCAATAGCATCAAAGGTCGCAGTCCGCGCAATAGCAATAAGGATGATCGGTCCATATCGCCGGCGTCATCATCATCGTCATCGTCGCGCGCACGCCGTCAGCCATGCACGACGCCCGGCAAAACGCCGCGTAAGACGCCAAATCGTAAAAAGAAAGACAATGGCGCTGCATCCGCCGCAATAACACCTAAAGCCGCTGCAACAACGCCTAAAGCTGCTGCAACGACACCTAAAGCCGCTGCAACGCCGCCTAAGGGCACTGCAACAACGCCTAAAGCCACCGTAGCTGCGGCTTCTGCAGTAGCAGCAGCACCAGAAGCAGTAGCGAACCTGCTGAAGACCGCTGCTGCAGTTTCACAAGCACTGCGCAGTGGGCGAAGTAATGGTATTAGTGGCGTCGGCGATGGCAATAGCAACGGCGATGGCGATGGTGATGGCGGCAGCGTGAGCGTGGGCGTCAGTGTCATTGGCAACATCTGCACCAGTGACAACATCAGCGAGAGTTCACCTTCGAGCACAACTACTATCAATGAAACAGCAGCTGATGAGGCGCCATCTGTGGCCGTACCTGTGGCAGCCGTAGTAGCTGCTGCTGATGAGGCGCCATCTGTGGCCGTACCCGTGGCAGCCGTAGTAGCTGCTGCTGATGCGGCGGGAGGTGAGGCAATTAGCGAGCTAAAGGAGCATACAATATTTATCTCACCTGCAAATGGCTACAGCAGCAAATGAACAAATCCCATCTCTCTCCCATTAAAATGACACAAATCATGCTTTTGTTTTTAACTGCTTTTTATGACTACAATCACATTTATCTATATTTATTGCTTTTTTTAATTTTAACAAGCATACATACATACTAGCTAACAAACATACATACATACATGCGAACAAGGCAAGAAGTGATGCGAACGAAACCAGGATATTTGCGCATTTTCGGCTGTATTACAACAAACGCGGCCGAGCATGCGCAACTATTTTTTAATGCAATTTTTTGAAGTCACCACATGCATATGCAGCTTTTCACAACATTTTATTAATTTATTTTTTAATACATTTTATTATATTTTAATGTTTATTTTATATGAGCAATTTTAGAAAATTCATTCTTTATTTTATCTAGTGTTTTATCATTTCAAAATAATGTAGGCTGTAAATATACATACATACGAGCCTTACACATACATACATACACACGAGTGAAATCATATATGAAGAAATTTAATGCCATTATATTAAAATATTTGCAAATGACGCTAGTTCAAAGGCAATTGCGCCAGAAAAAAAAGAAGATGAAGAAAGCATATTTTTTATAATTATGAGAAGTTTCCCGTTTCTCTGTTTTGTATCCTATTTTCATTTTTCTGCTTTTATTTTTTTTTACATTATCCTAATGGTTTATTAATTTTTTTGGAAACATAATTTTCCCCTTTATGATTTTTTTAAGTGATCTCCAATCGAACATATGATTCTCATTTTTTTTTTGTTGGGTCGCCCACATTTCCTTATAACTCTATAATTCTTAGCAAATTTAGTATGTACTACATATATGTTTGTATCTGCTGTGCATTGTAGCGCGATTGTGTGTTGCGCGCATATGTAGATTTTTTTTTTGTAGAACTGATTTGATGATGAATTTGTCAACTTTCTAATTTGTTGATCTCATATGCTCGTCGGAAAAATATACTTTAAGTGTAAGCGAAAACCTTGTTGTGTTTGGTCTTTTTCTTTCCTATGTGGCCCTTTGGAAGATTTGGCAAAATTGTTTGTTTTTTTTTTTTTGGTAATGGATATTTGACAAAATTTCTGCTCATTTCGTTGTTGTTCTTGTTGTGGTTACTTTGTTTGTGGGCCGAAATAGTGATTCGATTCCTTGAACTGACTTCCTCAGCGCTTTCGACCAGAAGTTGTAAATATAACGCCTGTTAGGTTTTGAATATTTAAAGTGACAACATCTACTTAATATGGCTTTGTGTCTTACGCAAATGTTGGTATGAATTCCAATTCGTTGGGCACTTAGTGTATGTACATAAATTAGCAACCGTGTAGTAGCAGTGCGTCTTTGTTATTTAAATTACAGCAATGTCTACACTAAGCAGTTCCCTTTTGAAGGAAACCTGTATTATGTGGATCTTTGCTTGAAATCATATTGGGCTTATGGATGTGTTGTTGATTGCAAACAGTGTATAAGATGAAAAGTAAATAACACCTAGAATTTCTTCCTCCTTCCACTATACCACTTTTCCTACCCCATCACCATTGCACCCTCATCCTCACTCAATATACATATCGACTTGCCACGTTTATGAGCGTGTATCTAACCAGCAACAAAAAAAAACGAGTAAATTAGCAACAGAAAAAAAAAACATTTTTCATTACATCATTCGAAACCAATAAAATAAAAACAAAAACCAGAATCCTTGTACAAAATTTTACAAACGAAAAAATATAGCGAGATTGTAAAAATTGTACAAAGTAAAATATCCGCTTGAAAATGTGAGTCTTCATGACTTTATCTGCCGATTGTCAAAATTGATTGCATATTTTTGAACGCTTTTTACAGGTAACAGCAACGCAACAGCAACAGCAATTGATTACACTAAAAAATACAAGTCAATACCAGCATCCGTCATACAAGTGGTGCCCCAGCTAAGCAATCAGTTGTATATCGGCAACACAATAACCACCCACAGTTATAACAACAACGATCTACGCTCGTTGCAACCGCCAGTGTTGCATTTTTTGCAACAAACACGTAAATTCGAGGGTAAAATACCAAAAATCAGTCAGCAGCAAGTAAATTTGCAACACTCAGACCTGATCATAATGCCGCCAACAACGAACGCTGCCGCTGGCGCCGCCTCCCCAGCTGTTGCTAACACAACCATAAACGCTACAACAACAGCGACAACATCTAGTCAACAACAACAGCAACAGCTGGATCACGAACAGCAGCAGCATCAGCAACGACCGCAACAGCAGCAGCAGCAGCAGCAAACAATCGTTTATACGACAATGTTACCTGCGGCGAGTACCCTAAATGGCATTGTTGCTGGGCAACAGCAACCACAACAGCAAACACAATACATTACTATACCCGCTTCGTCGGTAGCATCAGGTGGCAACACTACAGACGGCGCTGTCTATCAGCTGCAAAGCGAAATTGTTTGTGATGCGGCAACATATCAACAGCATCAGCAACAGCAACAACAACAGCGACAGCAACAGCAACAACAGCAGCAGCATGAGCAACAGCAGCAACAACAACAACAGCAACAACATCAGCAATTGACTGCTCAAAGCATCAATGGCAATACAATTGCTGTCACTTCGTCAGCTGCAGCGCAAGGTAGGTCCTGCCACACGCTTTGCCGTGTAGTCGATTTGCGTATCTTCTAATTAGCTAGTTGTGTGTGTGTAGATTAGTTTAAGTTTTTAACATTTTAATTTTGTATTTTTGAAATGTAGTGATTATGCTTTGAGTAATATTTTTTCAAACTTCATTTACATACGTTTGGCATTTCTTTGGTTTAAATTAATCAATTTACTAACACTGCATATCGCACGCCATTATATTTATTTATTTTTTTTCAAAGACAGTTGGTTTGAGATTAGAAATTGAAGGTCATATGCGACTTGCCATTTTGTTAATTCAAAGAACTCTTAGAGAAAAAAATTACTTAAAGAAAAAATTTTGCTTAGCAAAAAATCGTTAATATTTTCACCAAAAACAATATCCTTGATAAAGAGTAATTTGTAAAAAAAAAATAATCAAAAGCAATTTGTAGTTGGAGCCAAAAGAAATTGCGCATCTTTCTTACGTTTTCAAAGTTATTTGTTCATATAAAGTACAAAGAGTATCTATCTATGTATTATCGTTCTCATCCTTCGGTGAATTTCATAATTTCGCGTTCGTACAGGGCCCACTCAACAGGGTATTAGTTTCAAGGCCAAAATTATTCCACGCAAGAAGTTTTGATGTGAGCCAAACAAGTGGAAATTTCCCGATTCAAAGTCAGGTAAGTATGGATTGTAACACATACCATTTCAAATCCAAGAACTTTGAACGGGAACATAATTCCTTAACGATTGACCAGCTCCTAACGTGTCTGGATGACAGTTCATTCTAACTATCAAGTTGCCGATAGTTCTTATCCGAATAGATTATTGGAGTTCAATAAAAACCAAATCCTTCCAATACCACCGCATTAAGAACATAATTTCCCTTTGAGGCAGTTCTGCTTTTGAAGTCGTTTGAAGCAATTCATCACGTCTAGATCAAGGTAGTTGCAAAGTATAATCAAATTATATATGCATTGTAAAATGTATAAAACCAACTGTCATTGAATTAGGAAATTAAAAAAAAAAAAATGGGTTAATTCGGTGCATCATTTAATTCCTAAATGCCTTCTTTTGGTTTTTCAATTTAAATTTTTCTATTATGTATTCAATTTAATTTTTATATAGAGAACAAAGTTCCTACTAAAGTCCACTCCATTTTTTTTCACTTACTTTCATAAGCAAATCCATGCTGCAAAATAACTTACTGTTTCTTAAATGTTTTCAATTCATTACACTCTTTCTAATAGGAAAAATTCTTACAAATTCTGCGTTAAAAAATTGTTTTCGAAGAATTTCATAACTAACCTTAAAATATTTATTTGTATAACATATTTGCTAGTTTAAAGTTCACATTTTTAATAGTTTTTTATACGCAACAATTTTATTTATCTTGAGGCCGTTATTAAATGAAAAGTGTTGTGGGAAAGAACAGTTATTTATAAATATATAATTTATAATTATTGATTTTTTTCCACATTACTTTGAATTTGTTGTTATAAGGCCATAAATAGCAAAAAAAAAATAAAGTTTTTTATACGTTTATGAGCTTCCGCTACAACATTCTTTAAATTCTTTTCTCACTGTTTTCCTCATTTTAAGTATAAAATTTCGCAAATAACGTAAAAAATTATAAATTTTGTAAAATGTTTTTTTTTTTTATCTCCCTTTTGCGCATTCTATATTCCATTTACTTTCATTTTCTAAAAAAAATTTTAAATAAAGCTTTAATCCGACAGCTGATCAGTTGCAGAAATTCGTAAGTTAAATAGTTACAAAAATACACGATTTTTTAATTTGCGTCAATAAAATCAAAAATCATAGCAACTGAGTTAATTTAATATTAGCCGGCTGCTGTCACACTTTTTTAAACAGTAATACAAAGACTTTTATATCATAAAATCTGAAATTACATGCATACTACACACAGCAGTTTTCATGAAAATAACAGCCTACATATTGACAAGTTTTTACAACTTTTATTTAATTATAATTTTTTTTGTATACAAAAACATAGATAATTCTACAAAAAAAAAACCGATTTGTAAATTTCAATCTTTCTAAGAAAATTAAAAAAATTCAACAAATCTTTACCAAACTTCGACATTTTTACCAAAATTTAAAAATTATTAGAAAAACTTTAGGTATACAGAATCCGCTTTGATTCTTAATAGATATATATATATATTTTTTTTTGCTGAGAGTGCAAGCTGTATTCTTGCATATAAAAAAATTATTATATGGGAAAAAAGCGCGAGACCTTCAACAAAAAAAGAATTCTCAAAATTTAAGGCGGATTCTGATAAAAAGTTGAACTTTTAC